GTAAACTTGTTCTCTGAAGTCAAATTATATAAAATATTGAAAAGTTTATGTTAGAACTCCTACATTGATCGTGTTTACTAAACAAAAACAAACTAAAAGTAAAATAGAAACAAATAGGTAATGAAACAAAAATTAAGTTTGGTTGATCTATGTGATCCATCCAAAGGTTTTCTGTAAGAGACTGCTTTTTAGACGATAAGGCCGCCATTTGTACATGGTCATTAACTTGGAATATAATATCCTGAATTGGTGTACAATAAAGATTATTCTATTATATTCTGGATTCTTGTTTTATCAATTTAATATAAAATGATCTGAGCGAAAGTTTTGAAGTATCAAATATTTCTTGTTTGGTAAGTACCAACATGAAAAGTGGTGTACAGACTTTTTTAAATGGCCGAATTCTTTACTAAAATCACGCAACGAACGTCAATTTAAATGATCAAAAGTAGCGTTATCTGAACGACTACCTACAAAAAGCAAAATGCAAGTTCTACGCCCGACATTTGAACGTGGCCAAATATCTAATGACGAATATATTCAACTACCTAATAATAATATATTTATTTGCTTCAAACAAAGTAATTTTTTTTTGTCTCATTTTACTAAGTTATATAAGCGAAATTTGGATGTGACTGCCGAGTAAGTAGGTAACCTTAATTATATGCTAAAACAAAAATCCTATAGGGGCAGGCGAGTAAACGGGTCATTTGAAGGTAAGTAACCATTTCCGACCTGAGTGGGGGAGTTTGGGACTCTGGTAAACTCACTCGGTGAGAAGCAATAGGTTTTCAGCGAAGCCGTGGTATTACTCGGGTCAAGCCGGCTTATGAAGAGTGCATAAAGCAGGAATTCATAGTTCTATTTTAATAATGGAGTAATGGTTTAACACGAAAACATATACCTAGGCGACTTTGGTATAAGAACGAAAAAAGAATTAACGACATACTTTCATAAGCGACACTTAAAAAATGTATCGTCAAAGATGATGTTACTACATCCTCAAACAAACATGGTTGCAGTGTTGTTAATGTAAGTGATGCTGTTAGCTGTTCACTTAATATGCAAATTTTCATTGTACCTATGTCAATCTAGGTACATTGTCTAGTACATTTTATAACAAATTGCAGTGTGTTGCCAAAACTTCTACGCGTTTTGCGGTTGCTTTAATGGTGTAACAAATACGAGGGTGGATTGATAAGTTTCCGGCCTGACCAAGAGATGGCGCCACTAGGCCTACCTTGGATAGCTTGTAGCTATAGTTTCAGCCCGATCGTCTTGCTAGTGTAGGTTTGAGAGCACGCTGAACAAGACGCCTGTATTTTTCGTAAAAATGAAAAGCAGGAAAATCGTGCTGTCATCAAATACTTTTATTTGAAGGGGTTAACGCCGAAGGAAATTAAAGAAGAGATGGACTCAACACTGGGGACATCCTCCCGTCATATTCAACCGTTAAGCAGTGGGTTTCAGAGTTTAAAAAGGGTCGTGTGAGCACCTCTGATGAGATTCGCTCAGGATGCCCCGTTGAGGTCACAACTCCAGATATGATCGAAAAAATTCATCAAATAGTGCTGGGAGACCGCAGATTGAAAGTGCGTGAGATAGCTGAGACCTGTAAGATGTCATATGAACGTGTGCAACATATTTTGCACTGACATTTGCATATGGAAAAGCTCTGTGCAAGATGGGTGCCGCGTTTGCTAACAGTCGACCAAAAATTGATTCGAAAAACATTTCTACCGCAAATTTGTCATTGTATAAGCGTAATCCAAGCGAATTTTTGCGTCGATTCGTAACCGTTGACGAAACTTGGGTCCACCACTACACTCCTGAAACCAAAGAACAGTCTAAACAGTGGATTGGACCAGGGGAACCAACTCTAAAGGCAAAAACAATTTTTTCGGCGAACAAGGTTATGGCTACTGTTTTTTGGGATGCAAGAGGTATTATATACATTGATTACCTTGAAAAGGGTAAAATTATCACTGGTCAATACTACGCAGACTTATTGCAACGTTTGAGCCACGAGGTGAAAATTAAACGACCTCATCTGGCGAAGAAAAAAATCTTGTTTCATCACGATAACGCACCAGCACACACGTCAATCGTTGCAACGGCTAAAATCAACAATCTAAAGTTTGAATTGATGCCGCACCCTCCTTACTCTCCAGACCTAGCCCCGAGTAACTATTTTCTGTTCCCTAACCTCAAAAAATGGCTTGGCGGTAAGAGATTTGTGGACAATGAAGAAGTAATGGTTATTTTGAGGAGCTTGACAAAACAGTCTATAGAAATGGCATTAATAGACTGGAACACCGATATGAGAAATGTATCAGCCTTGGAGGAGATTATGTTGAGAAATAAAAAAAAAATTTAAATAACTGTTTTTCTTAGTCAGGCCGGAAACTTATCAATCCACCCTCGTAATCTGTCCCAATCTATAAAAATCGCATGTGCCTAGGGAATTGTAAAGTCACCAATACCTTAGGTTAGGCAGAAACAAGGTTTCTCTACTCACATTCATTAAGTAGGTACCTACTTTAGTACAAGCTCGCCTATTTCGAATCGTGTGGTTCGAGTAATTACCCCACCCTGTTACCCATTTATCAATTTCTACCTACGTTATCTTTACAGACCAATTGCTTCACCATACCCGAACTAAGTTCCGTCAGAATTGATCTAACTATATATTGATATAACCCATATAACTACAGCACCAGTAGCACAAAATTACCTGACTCATGAGAATTTGACTGAGAATTTCAAGGTTGTTGTTTTATCCATAAATCTATTGTTTGAAAAATAAATTAACAGTATTTATTCAATAAAATTAATTAACATAAATCAGATTGTAATACATATCCCAAATACTGTAAAAACGTTCAAATTTACTACAATCGAGGTTACTAGTTTAAATTAAATCTCTCCTGTATACTTTATTACTCAGCATCTAGACATGTAGTACCTATGAGTACCAGATACTTACAATCATAGACTCGTCTTGGAAAGGATAGAAAGGTGTATTAAACGCACTGACACCAGACCAAACAAATAAGAATTTAACACGTCATCGACAATTGGACAATACATAACCTCAGAATATAACTACCATAACGAATACCGAATATAACAGGGAATAAAAGAGTACCTATACCTAAAGACGAACTATAAATATATAGATTTACTCATGTACCTGTACATTTAGTATGTAATAAGCATAAATATTCCGTTAAAAGCTTAAGGCAATAAGCTATATTTATAGGTCGTACAATAGGATCAAAAATAATAATAACAGAAACTTCCTAATGTACACCTATCTATTACGAGTAAGATCGTACCTGTTACGAGAAATTACGCACCTACTCATAAATGATGGATACTCATAAAATGCACTTATTAAACATCACTACAGAATATATCTTCATACAGTTACAAAAGCCTAAATAAAATACCTATGTAGGTTCTACTACTTAGGTGCGTAAAAACATCCTTACGATACCCCATTTTGTACAAAACTAACCGACCAATCAAATCTTCAAAAAGCGCCGAAGATAATGGAGGGACGAGAAAGAACCGCAATCATAGGTTGGCATCAGAATGACAAATGTATGTGGCGTTAGACATGTCTTATTCAAGAATAATCATAACTGAAGGAAGCACCTTTCGTAAATTGCCTGTGTTCGGAGGAATGTTATTTTTTCTTGCTACAGTCATTCTAATGTAAAGATGGCCGATGGCTTTCTTGTTGGACGGGACTTGAGATTCGTAATGTACCTACCCTATTTGGTTCTCTCATATTGCCAACACTAGGGTGCAAGGAAAGTACGGAAAACCGAAGTGGTATGTACATTTAGATCATTACACTGCCCTCAACATGGTTTTCATTAGTTAAAAATTATCACATACATAAGAAAATCTATTAATGCCATAAATACCAATCGAAAAATGTGATTCATGAATAAACTCAGATTTTATGGAATCAATACCTATATTGTAAGTTCTTTGGTAGCATTGACGTAGAAATAATCTAACAAACAATAAGTACCTATCCGACGAATTAAAACAAACGAAAAAACCTAGACAGTACATACCTTGCTACTTACTACACTGCCCTGATGAATTCTTGCATGAAACTATAACATACGTAGATATCTTCTCTAAAAGAATGCGCATATTTTAAGCATAACTTGGTAAGTAATGACGCGCCACTAGATGACTTCATTATGTTGGTAATTTACCGTTGTGCACAACTGTTTAAATGCCGTCACACAATAATGAAGTCTTATAACGGGATTTCAAAGGCGTTCGATAAAAATAACAGTTCTAGGGTCGAAATAACACTAAACAACACGATACTAATTAAATCACAAATGTTTTATTTATTTCTTATCTAAATCTTTATATAACAAATGAATTTGCCAGCAATACTATATATTAGCGCGAGTATAAATCTCACTACGTTATAGTATCTACAAGATGTTATGTAGATGCTGACAAAAAAGGAATATTTACAGAGCTAAAGAAACAACCCTACTTTTGTATTAAAGTTTATTTTACATTAAATTAGCCTACAAGTCCATAATTATAAACCTATTTTCATGTAACAGGTATTTGAGAACTTAATACTGAGTAGTCAGAAAATAAAATCTTGATTTACTATGTCAACTACTTGGATCTCTCGTTCACCTAGCTTCTATATGAGGGAAACTTACAGAATTATCCTAAATTGTACTTAAGTCGTAAAAAAAACGTAACTAATTCTCATTTTACATTTCTATATCCTTAAAAGTATGTCACCATAAGTACCTGAGTACTACAATAAATATAAGACCATCTTACAATTCAGTACACATATTTAAGTAATCTAAAAATAATCTTCTAAAAGATAAAGAGACAAGAGCTCCAGCTACATCTATTGGGTTCCTGACGCCTTCTCCTATGGTGGTCTCGCGGGTGGACCATGAAGTGTGTAACTAGTGCTCCGGAGCGTACTGCCTACACTAGCACGGTAAACACTGCTTTACTAGTGTACTTAGCACGTAACCTAGAGATTAAAAAAATCTTTGATGAGATATACAAGTTATACAACTAACAATCAAAGGCTACCTTCATAGCATTAATCACTGGAACTAACTGAAGTATGAGTTACTATCGATCTGAAGCTATCATTTCCTATCCTTAATTAATGCTATGTAGTGCTCCTCATAGTAACCTAATTAAGACAAAAATTAACCAATCCAACAACTCCCCTAATAGTAGCAGTGGGAATGTTTATGTCACTTAATGAAACTTGTGTGAAGTGAATGAGAGCAATGTAAACTCAACTTACATTTAGAACCTCCCTCCTCGTCCACCTTGACCGCCACCATAGCTGTTGCTGGCGTAGCCACCGCCGCCGCCGCCACCACCCTGGTTCATGTTGTAGGGTTGGGCACGATTGTTACTATACTGCTGATTCCTAGTTGGGCCTCCACTGTAAGTTTGTTGGTTATAGCTACCAAAATCTTGGTTACCCCAACCCCCACGGCCATTGCCACCACCTCCATAGCCACCGCCTTGACTGCCACCCCAACCTCCTTGGTTGTTATCCCAAGGATTAGAATTGTTCCACCCTCCCTGATTGCTGCCATAGCCACCTGTAATTTAATAATTTTGAAATTATAGACTTGAATTTAACAATATCAACTCAAATAAATAACAATTAGACACATACCACCATTACCCCAGCTATCATTCCTGCCCTGTCCTTGTCTTCCACCGCCTCCTCCTCCTCTTTGTTCAGCACCATCCTTAGGAAGGGCTTTTTTTACATCCAACTGTTTTCCATTGATTTTATGAGGACCATTCACTAGAAAATAAGTAGATTGTTAAAACACACAACAAAAACGATATGTAAGGAATTGTTTATAAAAACAATGTATATTAACTTGCGTACCAGATCTCCCATTGACATAAATGAAGTCAGGTATAGCTAAAATTAATATGATAATTTCCACAATCAGAGAAGCCAGATCATGACACTTAAGTTCAGAACTGGGGCAAAATTGTGGGAATAGATAGTTTTAAAAATAATAGATTATACTCACAGCAAACTTTATCAACTGGATCATAGTCATCAAATTCAACGAAACCGAAACCACGTTTCTTGCCAGTACCTTTGTCAGTAACAATACTGACATTCTGTACTGTTCCGTAGTTAGCAAAATACTCCCTAAGTTGTTCCTCATCATGGTCGTCTTTGATACCACCAATAAATAATTTTTTTACAGTGGCACCTGCCTCAGGGTTTTTGATATCTTGTCGTGCCACAGCACGTTTAGTTTCGACGACACTAAAAAAAATTAAGGTCAGAGTCAATTTTATTCATTTTTTTACCAAGATAGAATATTTAAAGGCAATACTTGTCGACCCCACAGAAAATACCACGTGCACAATCTTCACAAGACATTAAAAATGCATAAAATTAAAGTTCATCCATGTGTCACCCTAGTATTACTTAGAGAATACTTGTCGACCCCACAGAAAATGCCATGTGCACAATATTCACAAGACATTCACCAAGTAGTGTCCGTTCAGTTTTTGCAGAATAAAACGATATGAAAGTAACAATCAAACTTTCATATAGCTGGACTGCAGTACCTATGAATAAAAATAAAGTAGGTTTTTAATTCTTACCGGCCATCGATTCGATGCGGCCTGTTGTTTTGCGCATCGTCCACCATGTGCGCCTTGGAATACGTGATAAAACCGAATCCCCGTGACCTCTTCGTCTTAGGATCTTTCATTACTACGACATCCACAATTTCTCCCCATTTCTCAAAATGGGACTTCAAAGATTCATCAGTAGTTCTGTAGTTCAGACCCCCAATAAAAATTTTACGGTGCACCTCGGGCTCATCCTGAAAGTAGGGTGCGGCGTCAACAAAATGGCGGACAGAGACACGGCTTAACGCATCACCATAACGAAGCCGAATTGCGAAAATACAGACATTTAACATAACAATCAAACATCTTGATGAATTGAATATAAAAAATTATAATAATATTAATATATTTGAATATAAAATATTCATAACACCATAAATAGCATTTATTAACTATAGTTGTAATTAAATCTGATATAAGCATATGTTGAAAACACTTACAAAGCCATCATCACCATTTTGCTGGGGCCTCATTTTGTAAAATTACTTCAAAGTACTACAAACACAAAGCAAAACGATAACTTTTTGATGCAGCACAGACAGTCCAGCAATGCAATACACACAACCGCTCACGACCGATGCCACGCCAAAAAGAAGGACGCTGGACAGACGAGCGCGACGAGGCCGAGGGAGGGAGGAAAGGAACGCTTGCTTGCTTGCTCCAATCAATCGAATTCAAACAAGGACCATAAAGAGCTATGTATACAAATTTGAAACATTGTCTTTTGGGACAAACTTTTGAACAGCGTAAATCGTAAATTCCCACGTCATTTCTGTCGTAGTAAGAAAATAAGAAAGATTATTACATTTATTTTTGCTTTTAAGGAATATTAAATTAGAAGTAAAATAACGTGCTTACCTACGTTTGAATTGATTTTTATGCTCATGAAATTAAGTCCAAATATTTAAATTGTAATCAATACATACTCACGCCTATATCCCGGAAGAAGAAAGCGGAGCCGTACTGTACGGCCCTAATCTATGCACTATAATTTTAATTCCCTTAAGGAATAGGAAGGAAGAGTATTGCTGACAATCAGGCCGGCTGCACGTCTGCCTCCTCTTTAAAACAAAAAAGAAATTAGGCTATTTAAGAATCGATCATGCCGAACCTGACCTGAAATCTTGACCCGGTCGTGGTTTGGATTATTAATAGTTTCGAAAGTAACACTTTTCCTAAAGTGACTCGACGTATCGTTCCTATCACAAGTAATTGTAACCCGAATAATGACATAGATACGTTCCCCTGGTTTAGGCGCAGAATGCCCAATTCGCAAAATGTCAAGTTCGTAGAATGTTATTATTACTTTTTTTTATTTTTAAAAGAAAAATAAAAATGAAATCACTTTGGAAATTTAGTTTTAGTATCACCTAAAAATTAAAAGATTTGTTTTAAATAGTTAGTTTTTTTTTTTTTTTTTTTTTTTTTTTTGGTTTGGAAATCCCCTCGGACCGTCACCCCGCCGGGGCTCTCGTTCGGCGGGGCGGTGTGTCGGACTCGAACCGACTAAAACCACACGGTGTGCCCTCTTTGCGCTTCCAGTTTAGGAAGGGTCCAGGTAGCTATCTCCTTCTGGACCCCTCCCAGCGCCGGCCCGCTCCTGGCGCGGGCTCCGTCTCAGTGGACCCTCTCTTTAGGCGGCGTCCAGCACACGCGGACGCCGCCCCCTCGCGGCTGGCCAACTAATGCGGGTGGAGGGGAGAACCCATCCCGTCCACCCGCGGCCACACTCAGGGCGGCATGAGGCGGAGGTGAGCGCGCCTCCGACACCCGGTTCGCCGGCGGCGGATCAGGTCCGAGTGGAGGTCGTCCTCCCGGGCCTTCTCCGCCGCCTCTTTCTGCGAGATTACCTCCTCGCAGAAGGTTGCGACCTCGGTAAAACAACTGTCGCTACCGGCCATGGAGCGAATTACGGCCGGTAGCGAGAGATCTGCTCCGATGACTGCAGTGAGGGCCCGGCGCTGCGTCGCCCATGCGGGGCAAACCGCCAGCGTGTGCTGGGCCGAATCCTCACCGCAGTCGCAGTGGTGGCAGGCGGGACTCGATTCCCTCATAGCGACCGAGTACAGGTACTTTCCGAAGCAACCGTGCCCGGAAAGCACCTGCGTCAGCCGGAAGGAAAGGGTCCCGTGCTGCCGCCCTGCCCACTCGGCGATGACCGGCTGGAGAGCCTCCACGGCGGCGAAGCCAGCGCGTGGAGTCTCCAGCCGGAACGACCATCTCATCATAGTGGCTCGGCGAGCGGCTTCGCGCCATTCGCGCACGTCTTCGGGCAGAGGGCGAAATCCGCTCTCCTCCCGGAAGTCAGCCACTCGCCGATAAACTTCGGCGAGCACTTCCGCCTCCAAACCCCACGGGGGTGTTCCGGCCAAGGCGCAAGCCGCCTCGGTGGACACCGTGCGGTATCCGCGTATGGCTCTGACCGCCAATATCCTCTGGGGGCGCCAGAGGCGCGCCCTATTCGGGGCGGTCAGAGCCGCCACCCACACTGGTGCACCATAAAGCGCCATGGACCGGACAACCGCCGCGTACAGCCGCCTCGTGGGAACACTGGCCCCGCCCAAATTGGGCAAAAGTCGCCCTAGGGCGGAGGCAGTGTCACCAGCACCAGCTTCGGACCAAGCTGTCGGAAGTGCTCGTCGAAGAGCCACCTACCGTCTAGGACCAGACCCAGGTACCTCATCTGGGCCCGGACCGGTACGAAGACCGAGCCGACCTCGATTGAGGCGCCGGCGGGCGGACCACGACGGGGCCCATGAAATAATAGGGCCTCCGTCTTATCCAGGGCCACTCGTAATCCCAACGCCTCAATGCGCCCGACCACCTGGGAAACTCCCGTGGCGGCCAGGCGCGCCGCCTCCTGGAAGTTAGCCCCCCGGGCCGTGAGCAAAGTGTCATCCGCGTAGCAGATTACACCCAGCCCGGGGGGGAGACGCCCTCGTAGGGCCCAGTCATACCCGATGTTCCACAGGAGAGGTCCTAGGACAGACCCCTGCGGAACACCGCACGACATGGCCCTGCGTCTCAAGACGCCATCTCGGTCCTCGTACATGACGGTTCGCTCCTCAAGATAGTCTGCCACCAGCCGCCTCAAGTACTCCGGCACTCCGTGGTAGCGGAGCGCTTCCCTGATGCAGCTAAATGGCAGACTATTGAAGGCGTTGGCGATGTCCAAGGACACCGCCAACACCACTCCGCCGCAGCTCACGGCCTCCTCGGTCACGGCCCTAAGGCGCATCACGGCATCGATCGTCGAACGCCCCTCTCGGAAACCGAATTGGGCGTCCGACAGATCGGGGCCAACCTCGCAGAGGTGCCGGACGATGCGGACAGAGAGTACCCTCTCAAAAAGTTTACCCGCCTCGTCCAGCAACACGATAGGCCTATAGGCCGCGACCGAATCGGTAGGCCGTCCCGGCTTCCTCAGCAGGACCAGCTTCCCGCATTTCCAGCGCTCAGGGAAGCGTCCGGACGCCAGGCTAGCGTCCAACACCCCCCTGAGGTGGTCCGACATGTAGTCGAGGGCTCGGGCCATCACTCGGGCTGGAACCCCGTCCGGCCCGGGGGCAGTGTTCTTGGATCGAATCCGTAGAACAGCCGCCCCCAACTCCGATTCCCTGACGGGCGGAACATCAACCTCGCTGCCCCCGTCGTCTCCGGCTGATGCAGCCATCGACGGGGGTGTGTGCTCCGCCCGCTGCGGGAATAGACCCTCGACCACTTCCTGCAGGAAGCTGGGCTGGAGAGTCTCCGTAAGGGGGGGGCCCGACGTGCGGAGCTTTTGACGCACCGCACGATAAGGGCGACCCCAGGGGTCACGCTCGAGACTCTCCAGCATCTCCTCTCTACACGCATCCTTGGCGCGGCAGATGGCCAGCCTCAGAGTTTTCCGAGCTTCTCGGTACTCCTCATGAAGCCGGTCCACCTCCTCACCGACCCCGCGGTGACGTCGCCGACTACGGGTGAGGGACCTCCGGGCACGTACACAGGCCGCACGGAGGTCCGCCAACTCCTGGGACCACCAGTAGACCTCCTTCCTTGGAGGCCGACAACCACGAACGCGGGGCATGGCCGCATCGCAAATCTGCGTAATCGCATCGCAGAAGCGACCAGCCCCCATGTCGACCTCCTCGGTCGGGGCCTGCGGAGACAGCCAAGAGTGAATAATGGCCGCCTCCTCTAGTAGGTCCCTGTCGAGCTTGGCGACAGCCCACCGCGGGAAGCGGGAAGGGCGCCGCGCCGCGTGACCCCTACTGGGGTCCTGGGACCGGGAGAGCTCAAATCGGATGTACAAATGATCCGAGAGCGTCTCGACCTCTTCCAGGACACACCAGTTCCTTACTCGTGCGGCGACTGCAGGGGTAGCGAACGAAAGGTCCACTATCGACCCCCCCTGCTGTCGCACGCACGTGTTGGTGGAGAAATAGTTAGTTACCATAAGGTGTCGTGTTGAAGGCTGGCCTTGATTCTTAAATTCACATTCTTTCAATTATATAATTTTATGACACCTTTTTTTATTCGATCGGTTCAAATGTGGGAACATTTGTGAAGGGAAGACATATAAGGTGCACAGAGTTTAGCTAACGACACAGACGGATATCAATTAGTCCCCTCTATCTCTTTCTAGCCGAACTCTGTGGTTGTCTGGGAAATATGAGGGGTTAATAAGTAACCAATCGCAGCTAAACGAAACAGAGACAGAGGGAAATGTCGGGCATCTATCTCTCTCGTTGCCTGTATCGCTTCCACTTCCAAGTTGCTGTACCCCGTGTTCATTTTATGGATTTAAAGAAATTAATAGTTACTATTTTGTATATCTTTAATAGTTCAAGTTCCATTTCCAAAATTTAAACAACACAAAAAGCGGTTATTGTCCTGATGATGTAGATACTTCTAAATACGTAATATGTATACGGCAAATTTGACGAAAGGCGGAACGTTTTAATAAAATCCTATGACCTGCCTGAAGAATAGGCATGTTAAAAACAAGAAAATCTGTAACATTATTCCGTTTGATATAATAGTTTTTACTACTGGAACCAAAACAAAACGCAATTTCGGTTTTGTTACAATTTAAGGTCAAAAACGAAACTTGAAATCGACAAAAATATCAGTTTTTTAGCTTTCTGCCTCTGCTTTTTTACGCAAAACAGAAAAAGTTGACCAAGACACTTTATCTTTCACAATTTTCTTTCATATTCTTAGCACAGGAATAGACAAACATATATACAGTCTTTTTTTTACATGCATTCAGGGGAAAGTCAACAGTCTAACTTTGACATCTTAAATGAAGGATAAACATTTTTTGATTCTAATGAACAACTTTTTTCGCTGGTATGAAATAAAAGACGTCACTAATATGATGACAATAGCGGTATAGATTATTTTATTTTGCCAGATTAATACGAGTATGACTATACTAAGCAATGTAAGCATTGCAACAATAAACATTTAAGACGCCTTCAGGCCAGTTTATATCTAGCGAGTGTAATTTTTAATCTGGGTGAATGCGAGAAGCCCAAAATCGATCCAAGTGGCGTGCGATGGAAGAAGAAGATGTCCAGCAGTGGACTGCGATAGGTTGATAATGATGATCATGATGATGAGTGTAATTTTATAAATTAATGATATATTTCGCCACTTTTTTGCTCCAAATCACTGTTTATACTTATAGTATTTCTCGGCATAGCTATTTAATTTTTCCAGCCTACCACAGAGCTCGATTAGAAAGAGATAGAAGGAACTGTCTAATGCCCATTTCTCTCCTTGCCTATATTGCAAGATTGGGACTCTTGATCAGTATTAATTTAGGGATGTGAGATTAATGGAAAAGAATCGATTAAATAAAAATCGATTTTTCTATATTAAAAATTAATCGATTTGCCAAAAATCGATTTTAATAAAAATAAATAATCGATTTTTTTGTATTATTTAAAAGTATATGCTTTCCACATTCCAATAATAAACTTAAGAGATTCATATTAACTATTTATCAGATTAAAAATAAAATAAAATTATATGAATAAAAAAATAACCTATTCGAAAAATTTCAAAGTAGGGAATTAGGAAACTAAATAGCATTATTGATACTCATTTTAGTACTATGAAACGTTTTATTTATTATAATAAAAATGAAATGATGAGAATTTTTTATTTGACTAGTTTTAAAATAAAACACTTAAAATGAGAATTAAAAAACTAAACGACTACTCTTCATCAACAGTCTTTTGATAGTCCACTGCTGGACGTAGGCCTCTCCTTAGAAAGGAGGTTTTGGCTTTGGTCTACAGTCTCAAAAACTAAACTAAATTACAAATCATTCGTTAATCTTTAAGTTTAAATAATAATTATTGTCACAAATGTCCATGCAGTCCTATTTTACATTTGACTAGTATTAAAATAAAACACTTAAAAGGATCATTATCAATCCTGAACAACTACGTTATGGTCTCTAAAACTAAAATAAAAAACAATCTTTCGTTAATCTGCAAGTTTAAACAATAATAAAATTAAAAATAATTATTTCCACAAATGTGCAGTCCTATTTTACATTTGACTGGGATTAAACAATAATAAAATTTAAAATAAGTAGGTAAGTAAGCGGTTTAAAAACAATAATTTTGATAGTCTCTTTCCTAAAATACGGTTTCGTGTTTTCCTGACCACATTTCCCGCTTTGGAAAATAATCTTTCGGACGGAGCAGAGATTTTTGATCCAACGCATAGATGGCGCTGTTTTTAAAATTGAAACATACTGCAAGATTTTTTCATTCGTCGCATAGATGCGAGCTGTTTCTGAAAATCGATTTAAACACGTAATTTATATAATCGATTTACTAAAAATCGATTATCATTACTACAAAAATCGAGAACAAAAAATGGATTATAAGAAAATAATAATCGATTTCAATAAAAATCGATTATTTTTTAACATCCCTAGTATTAATCTATATCACATGTCACATGGCAATACTGATTATATACTTATTTTTTTTTCTATATTTTATTAAGTATTTTAGTCTTTGGTTACCTTTGTCAATTCTTTTTTGTTTTGCGCGTCGCCTTTTGTATATTGCGGTTGCTATAATATTTCTGAAATTACACCCATTTGATATAAAACTAGCGTTTAAGTAAAGTTTTTACGACATAATCATTCTATTTCGAATATTCACACGGTCCACGGGAAACCTTTAACTGTGGCGGAAGACATGAAACCCAGCGGTGGAGGTGACGAATATGTTAGTGAAAAATGTTGAATTTTATTTTCTTTGAACTTACTTTCGCTATTATGAATAGTTATAGCAAAATATTCACACACCTAAAAAATCTTAGTTAACAATACAAATGTGACATTCGTAGTCGTGGCTTCTTTTTTTTCTTTAGTTGCATGAAGTGACGTTTAATACCTACCTGCTTCTACTTTAGAGCTATAAGTTTTAAGTCATAATATTGTCTCACTGTTTCTTTCACCTAATCTATTTAAAATAGTGACATGAAAGTGTTAATTTTTAGTCACTATTAATATTAAACAACGAATTATATGCAACAAACAAACAATATTTTTATTTCATACTAGAAGTAATAAATTATTTTAGTTATTATATTTTTGTATTAATTATTCGCTCGCGTGGATTGGGACCAAATAGGCAAGGTTGCCAGAAATAGTAAACAGGACTGTAGGGATTATTGCCAAGGACTGGGTGATTAAGACAACAGAGCTGATATCACTTAATATTAGAAATCACACACTTACTTATGGCTGACCCCAATCTAGGCAAAGCCTGTACTATGGTAACCAGACTGCTGATGTACATGTAGATGAATTCATTTAGAGACAGAATAAATAGTGATTGTCCTCATCACAAATATTTTTCTTGGGTGGTAATCGAAACCCACATTCTCTGCCTTAGTAGTCATGGTCACTAACCACTAGACCAACAGGCCCATAGAGTGAATAAGTGGTTATAACACATAACTAATTTCACTGCTATAAAGGGATAAATTTAAAACAACACATTTGATTAAATGTAATCTTCAACCGCTAAATTTGAGTATAATAAATCAAATGATCAGATAAAATTTAAGACTGTAATAACCCATAGCATAATGATGACTCGACACATTGCACTCAAGAGAGACAAACTGGTGAAAGAATGGCGGTAAACAAACTGATTCAGGGTTATCACAACACTTGCAGTACAAATTTTGCATTTATTAAACAATTCATATTATATTTCATTACAATTTGAAGCAATTTTATTATTACAGTACACCTTACTTGGGTCATTCACCCAAAGTGCATGTTATCACTTTAAGTCAAAAATCATTAAAATGTCTTATAATTATTTTTATGTGATACCCAACAACTGCCATGGTTGAAAATCTTGTGTAATGAACATTTTGTAGTAAGTCATTGTTTCAAATATATGCATATGAAATAAAATTACCACATGTCTACCTAAAATGTTTCTGATTTTGAATACTTCTCAATTTAATATGATTTACCTTTAGTTTCATTAAGTAAAGTTACAAATTATATTTTTAAACTATATATAACTTTAATTAACTTTAACTATATATAATTTATATATAACTTCACATACAACTTCATTGTGACAAAACACCACGCAAATTCTGTTGGGCGTTTTGCTAAATATTTTTTTACTAAAATTTAAGCTTAGTGACAAGTTCAACATAATCCACACCTTAGGATTCTTATTTACATGCCCAGTACTTTTTCATTAATAATAAAAAGTAAAGATAATATTTGACTGTAAATGGTTGTTAACATCTTCCTGTTATCGGTTGGTAAGTGACCTTAGGCAACTGTTTATTTACCTTTATTTTCTCTCCAATTTGGCTCAATTATAAGCAGAGCCTGTATTATAGTAACAAGACTACTGATAAACATACTTGTATTAATAAATAGACAGAACAAATTGTCATAATCATAGAATAATGTAGGTTTTGAAAAAACTACGAAATTCAGTTCTTACCATATTTGGATACTACATTGTCTAAATATTATTACATAATGAAATATATTTCAGATTTTAATTATATAGTGTTTGTTTGATAGTAGTAGAAGTAAAATGAAGCAAGTGATTTTTCTAGAAAACTGTATAATAATTAGTTGTTATTTTTATTGCATTTTAAAAGAAACCCTATTTTTAACTTGTATGCCAATTTTCATAATTACAGATTTAGAATAAAATAAGTTATGTAAAAAAAAATGACAAATATTTGAAATGGCTGCCCTGTAACATTTAATAAATGTAGATCCGACACTATTCTATGACTATGACGAAATTATTTTGCTTATTATTCATGGGGGATGAACCAGTGACCTGGCTTCGCAGTTACAAGTCACTTACCACTAAACCAGCAAGTCAGTGAGTAAGAGCTAATTGCTTTGAAGGTAGTCAAAGCATTACACACTCCACAGTATTTCTGTGCCCATTATGGGTGACATCATAACTCATTGTTGTACAGGTGGAGAATATGAACACAATTATTTGTCTTCACAAAAGTCCTTCTAATTAGTTTAATGTGATAGGTATTCTTAAACTTGGATAGGTTATATATTTTGAATGATGTAAACAGTAGTGTTAAAAAGTAGCCTATGTATTGCCTGAAGAATCAAATTAACTCCATACCAAATTTAATCTAAATCAGTTCAGTGGTTATCGATTCCCCATACAAATTTCCACTCTCCTTTTCAACCCCTTAAGGGATGATTTTTGAGATAAAAACTATCCTATGTCCTTTGACGGGACTCAAACTGTCTATACCAAATTTCATCTAAATCGGTTCCGCAGTTAAAGCGTGAAGAGGTAACAGACAGACAGACACTTTCGCATTTATAATATTAATATGTATCTGCAAATATTTGTTTCGGAGTTTGGGTGTTTTCAATATATAATATGTATGTATTTATTTACAAAAAACAGTATATAAGTTAGCTTTGATAGTACAAGCTCTGCTTAGTTTGAAACTATATGGTGTTGTGTCTCATGTCCGAAATATTATTAGATATTGTTAAATAATTGGTACTCTTTTGAAATTAGGTAAGGTTAATAATGGATAGCTCCATCTTCATGTCTTGATGGAGAGACAACTTTTTATCAAGCTAATATTACAATTCCTATTAAATGTGTTAGACATCCATTTAGAGGAGGATCAATTTTAGATAAATTATGGGATTTTTATTTGTTTTTAGGAAGAGCCGGAGCACTTACGCAAGCTATTCATTGGGGGCCTTGACTATAGGACTAATGATTCGTCACTAAAAGAGTTTTATGAGCAATGGGGGGAAATAGTGGATGTAGTAGTTATGAAAGATCCTCAGACGAAAAGATCAAGGGGTTTTGGATTCATCACATATTCAAGAGCACATATGGTAGATGATGCTCAGAAAAATAGACCACACAAAATAGATGGAAGGTAAGACCTAAAAGACTTTTTTGTTATTAACTGCTAATTTCAATTTCTTATATTTTAAAATACTGTTAATTTACTATTTGATTAAGTATCTATTTTCATATTGCTTCAATACTAGATTTTTAAGAAATTTTGAAACAGCCTAGCATTACCTGTAATGATGATTAACTAAAAAACATTTATAAGTAGTAATAAAATATAATTAAGAGCAACTGTGTAGATGCCAGAAACACAAATATATATTATAATATAGTTTGAGTAGTACCTTCTTTGGGTTTATGTTATCAAGGTATTATTATGCTGATCACTTAATCCATCACAAATATGAGGGTTTTAATTTATCATCATCATAGGAGTTCTTCTATATAATATTTTTAAGGTTTTATTCCCATTATATTTGTATAAAGTAAATGAACTGCATAACACATTTTAACATTCCTCTTTGCTCCTCAACACTCTTTTCCTTAAAATATATGAATCTGTTCTCAGAGTGGTGGAGCCTAAACGGGCAGTGCCCAGGGAAGAAATCAAACGACCAGATGCTGCTGCTACAGTTAAGAAGCTGTTTGTCGGTGGGCTGAAACAGGAAATAGAAGAGGATGACTTAAAACAATACTTTAGCGCATATGGCGATGTCGTATCAGTAAGCTTAGTGACTGACAAAGGAACAGGGAATAAAAGGGGCTTTGGATTTGTTGAATTTGACGACTATGATCCAGTTGATAGAATATGTTGTAAGTTATTTGCTAAAAAATATCCTAAATTCTGCTGGTATGTTCTGTTTATTATATTCCCATGCTCTTTGAGACTACCTACAAATTTTAAGAAACCTAAAGAAGAAATCTTTAAAAAAAATCTAAAGCAAAATATGGTTTTATTTTACCTGGGTTTCTTCATATACAGTAAAAACGATTTGTCTAACAAATTTGATGAAAGACCATGTGGCCATGTTTGTATTTTTAGTTCATCCATGAATACTTAGTACTACCACTTAAAGATTTTGATTTCATACCTCATTTTATTGACACTTCAATTCTTGAGGATGATTATAGGTAAATAACAGGAATGGAACAATGACCTTAGGATGTATATATGGGGAAAGGCTTGTCTTATTATGTAAAAGACTCTGAATACTCATAATTATTCTATTAGCAAAGGAAATAAAAGTAGTTTTTGTTACTGAAATAAACCAAAGTTTTTCGGTATATTAATAGAAATTAACACTTTTTAATAGTGCAACTAAACCACAAAGTCAAAGGCCATCGATTGGATGTGAAGAAAGCTTTACCAAAGTCTGAGATGGGAGGCGGAGGTGGCGGTGGTGGCGGCGGCGGCGGTGGTGGTGGTGGAAGAGGAGGCGGGGGTCGACGTGGGGGCCGCGGGGATGGCGGCAGTGGAGGCGGATGGGGAAACAGACAAAGCCAGGACTGGGGCAACTCAGGTATGTTTATGGAAGTCATGTTGCATTTTATCTTTGTCCTACCCAGGACAATATACTTACACAATTGCTCTATAGGACTAGCTAGCGTGATAGTTTAGACGACCGGATAGTGTAGTGGTTTGTGTAACGGACTGCTATTCCAAAGATTGCGGGTTCGATTCTCGGTCAAGGCAAACATTTGTGTGCATGAACATTTAATGTTTTATTTAGTCTGGGTGTTTCTATGTATAATATGTAAGTATTTGCAAAAAAAGTATGTGTATTGTGTATCAGTTGTCTAGTACACGTAGTACAAGCTCTGCTTAGTTTGTAACTAGATGGCGTTGTGTGAATGTTGTAGAATATTATTATTATTAGTTTACTCTCATCTATTGTATCATATAGATAAGACAAAGTTATCCATTCTAATATTGTAATTGCGGCAGTGTGTCTGTCTGTCTGTCTATATGATACCTCTTCACGCTTAAACCTCTGAACCGATTTAGATGAAATTGGGTGTACAGATAGTTTGAGTCCCAGTAAAGGACATAGTATATTTTTATCCCAGAAATCATCCTTTAAGGGTGTGAAAAGGGGGGTGAAAATTTGTATGGGGAATTAATAACCGCTGACCTGATTCAGATGAAATTTGGTATTTTGATCCTTGAGAAAAGATATTGGCTAGTTTTTACCGCGATAACCAACATACAAGAAGTCAAAACCCGGGTCAAAGCTGTTCTTAAATACCTCTGTACTAGGATGTTATTTACACTTAAAATTTTAATGAAAGTAGTTCTGAATTTAATAATGTGCAATATTCACAGTTTGCCACATGTTGAAATGTTTTCATACCTTGAAAATACTATAGTGGCCTTTATTTGTACCGTTCAACCAGATGGTGGTGGATACAACTCAGGATATGGACAAGGAGGATGGGGAAATCAAAATCCTTGGGATTCTAACAACTCTGGAGGAAACTGGAGTAACCAAGGGTATGGAGACCAAGGAGGATGGAATCAGTCTTCAAATAACTTTGGCTCTTCATACCAGCAAGGATACGGTGGCGGGCCTATGAGGCCTAATTACAATACAACACGGGCTCAACCATATAATAATTCAGGTAAGATTTATTTTCTGACGTGAATTATGTGTTTATCAATTTGCATTTCTCTTAGTTTGCATTCTTCAATCTATTTACCCATTTCATGTAAGGAAATCATAATTTGGGAGTCAAAATCTGCTAAACATATCTGCATGAAAAGGTTATTTAAAATAATTTGGTCCGAGTATACCTTTTTCGTGCTTAGGCCAATATTCACTGGTATCTTTCTGTAACCATCCACTTTGGTTACATAACAGTGAGATGTCACAGCTTCCGTTGCCTATCACCAAGTGAGTGAGGTTACTGTAGCCCAAAACCCCCTCCTTCTAATTCTTAAGGGGGAGCTCAAAGGGCGGCAACTTACTTGTAACGCTTAAGTTTCGGAAGGTCAATTCTCGTAATTCATCTTACGATATCACAACTGTCATAGAAGGTATTTTCGTAGTAAACTTTTAAACATCCAACATTTACTGGAATGTGATTATATCGTATTGTAACTGATAATGGAATCGGTAATCTGCTGGTCTTCGTACTACTTTACCGAACTTTTATTACGCGAATTGGCCTTCAGGTGTCTATGGGTGGCGGTAGTCGCTTACCACGGTGACCCATGCCATGAAAAAAATCCTAATAAAAATCGCAACAAATATTCTTAAAACGCGCGCATGCATGTAATTCTAATAATAAACCAACAAATGTCTCAACATATGTTGCAATAGTTACATTAACTCAAATGTGATTTTCCAATTGCCAATCGACTTAATTAACGATCATTAGTTTTTAGCCTGTTAATGACTTATGATGACAATAATTAATAACGATGTTGATTATATACTTTCTTACAAAATTGCATTCTAATAGTTCCTAAGTAACTCATTTGTTAATCACTGTGATTATGATTCAGTTATAATCAGATTTTAATGACATCAGGATTTGTAGATTATAACAAAGGCTATACGCAGTTATAACTCACAATAAATATTTTACAATAATCTTTCGGTGTACTCCCTCAAATATAGGAGACCACAGCATGCAAAAATTAGTAACAAGCTGTATTAAACTTATGTATTACATACAGATTCGCACATAAATCAAAATCATAAACACAATTTTGATGTAATTTTAGATAGCAAATTAACACTTAAGTCAGGGCAAACTATTTCGGCTAATTTATTTTCTATCAGATCCTCAGATCCCTATAGCCAAATTACTACACGCTTTTCGACTTGTTGAATTTTTTTCAAAGTACATCAATTATACTTCATACTAAAATCATTAATTAATTCATTTATTAGTCATTCCTATAACAAGTTAGTACACGTAACACAAGTGATACAGTATTTTGAAAGTTTCAAATGAGAACTTGTGTTAATTAATAAGGGTCCATATTTAGACCTCGTTGAGCCCCATAATCAGTTTTCGTGTGTCGACCTCTGGGAAACCTATTTCGGCCGCAAGGGGTCGATATCACCCACTTTGGGTATCCCTGATGTAGGTAGACAATATTATTAAAATATCACTGCAAAATATTTTTTAAGGAACTTTTATGTTTTAAAAGTGAAACACTGATATCTAAGTTTTTAGTTTTAGACAACATATTATATTGCCTGCAGAGCCTAAGCGACGTAATGACCCAGGTTTGATTTTGGTCAGAGAATAGATTGTAGGCTCCTATCCTTGGTAGACGTGATAGACTTCATTAAATCGTTGCATTCCGTGTAACCATTGTTCAAGTTATATAGAAAAATAGCATCAAGGTAAATAGCCTGCGGCTGTTAAGCGTACACTAACTGTAGTTGGTGTAGCTGGATAGTGTTTTTTTTAGTAATAGTTATTAAAGCTATAGCTATTATAGATAGTTGTTAGACACTTTCAAAACGTTTATCAGTACTCAGTACTCAGTAGTGGGGGTTCCATACAGTGGAGTTGTAATCCAACACTGGCCCAACTAGTGAATTGAATAAAACTATTTCAGTGCATGGGTTTTTGAAATCTTTACTACTGCTTAATACAAATCCCAGCAATGTAAACGCTCTCGCGACTGTGTTAAAAATATGATAACAAATTTTAAACCTTCACCTATTGCAATGCCTAGGCCCCAAACCTTGTTTGTACTTTGAAGTGGAATACCATCTTATTTTTATTTTATATACTTGTTGCCTTCTTTGTTTTTATTTTTTGTTTCTTGTTTAATTGTATGTGGAAGCATTTATCTCTATTTAATCTATCTCTTATGATGGAGGAAGTTTGGTACTTATTTGGAAAGTGATGTTCATTTCAAACCATGGTTGTTTTTACAGCCTAGTGTGTTATTTGAAGATTATGACAATACTGTTAAGTACGAATACGAGATCATTCATACGATGCGTCTAGTATAATTTACAGGTCTATTTGTTACTCAACTTACACACAAGTCTGACGGACGTGTTTGACTTCCTCATTTAGACTTTTTTAACTAAGCAATGGTTATGCTAAGTCATTTGTAGAATAATGTCACTAAACTCTCAGTTAAAGTCAAATTAGAGGTACCAGCCCCTGCATTTTATTTTATTTTTAGGTGGCGGAGGCGGAGGTTACCCTGGAGGTAATGGAGGCGGCAATAGCGGTGGTGGGGGCGGTGGGTACAATAACATGGGCAATGCAACCCAGACGGCCAACCAACGCCGGTTTTAGACTGGGACTGTCCTCTTGTGAGTATTACCTTTATTATCACTACGAACCTTACACTACTGTCACTCTGTTATTAATCAATGTTTTGGGTATAATAAACACTAGAACGTTGAACAACAACTTGAAGTTTTCCCTTTACAACGAAATTAATAATTCATAATAGCCTGCTGGGAAATAAAAAAATAAAAAATCTAAATCCCAATAAGTAAAAGTAGTGTGAGAACAAATGAGAATACATACAAACAGTGTTGAAGCTGTGCGGACCGTTACCTCTAATGTATATAACAAATATTATATCATTGCAGCTTGAACAAATAACGATCGTAATATAAAGTAGCGCGTCCACCAGGTAAATGGACTGATGTTATATCGATGTTGGTTGAAAAAATCCTGTCTTATGTGGCTCTTTTTATGTCCTTTTAGCCTGTATTGATCAGATATACAAAGAAATAATTTTCTTAAATTGTTCAACACTGACAACTCCAGTTTTTCACATAAAAGAAGTGATAAAACGAACAAACATTAACACGGTGTTGAAATATTTATGTGTGAGGTGTGTACTTATTAAAGTTTTTTAATACGTAGGTCTCAAGTTGCGCTTAGTTGAAGCTAGGCAGGCAGACGATATAGTAGAGACGAGGTAGGCCAGGAGTCAGCTAGCTAGTGAGGGACAAGTGGACTTAGTGAAGCGACTGCATTACATAGTCATTAAACATTTTTTTTTTATTCCTTCAATTAAGGTTGGTTCACAATAAGGTACTGTGTAGGCACTAGTTTTCTTTTAATTGTTAGTTGTTTAGCACGCAATCACAGTTTTTACATTTCCTAATAACACTTTTTTAATTACTTTCCGCACGGCTATATGTTCAGGTCATGCAATTTAAAGTTTATCAAAGTCCTGGTGGACGATACTGTAAAAGCTGTGGCTTAAGTTTATACTATTTGAGTTTTTAGTCATTAAGCGAGGAGATTTTTATTATTTCTGTTAACAATTATATTGTAGTTTATAATTTTTTATTTTTGCAATACGTTCTCAATTAGATAGAGATAGCTATAACATTCCGAAACTAATCAAATTAAATATTATACATTGTGTTCAGTTCAGTAAATTTGCCAATCTATGAAATAAATTCCGAAATGTCTTGATGTTAGTAATATAATGTAAAATACATGATTTATTTGTTAATGCATAAATTCGGCGAAACCGTCTTGTAATGTAGCCTAGTCGGTCGAAAGAAATATATGAAATAGCTAAATACATTATAGGTATTCTATCTAATACATCTGTATGAATTATATGTGTAAGCATTATAATAGTAATCGTATACTATACATGTTTTAAAAAGATAGTATCTTTAAGTTACTATGACTTACGAGTTATGATTGTTTATTTGTGTGCAAAAATTAAATAAATACTATTTTCCATGGACTGTTCTACACGCGGCGAGCGTTTCTCCGTGGAATAGGCCATGGTAAGTTGACTTTATTATAATGAAAATAAAACTATGCAATATTCTATATCGCTTTTTATTTTAACTTGCCCTTTTTATAACACTAAAATTTTAATTTACATTTTGTAAACTATATAAATTAAATAATTCAATTCATTAATTAGGAACATAACACATTTTCTTAGTTTTAATTAATTGAAATTATTCCTCTTTTTTTGGTAATCTTTAGATATAGAATTGCACCTTGACTGTGCTGAAAAAGTATTCTGTCGTTAAATAAGTTTACAAAATTATCTGTGTACATGTTACGAACGAAACAAAAAAGTTACAACGTGCAAATGGATTTGTGAACATAGAAAACAACATACGTTTTTATAAATACAGATATTTTTTGAGGATTTAACCTCAAAACTTATATTTTTCTATATAAAATCAATAATATTTTGTGTAAACACCAGTAACTTGTGTACATTTATTATTCTAAGTAACACAATCATGACATTAACATTCAAATGTTTATTAGTTACTTGCATCATTAGGTAATAATCTATATTTATTTGAAATATCTGATCTCACGGGATTGCGCCCCCTAAGAGCTTGGCTGTCTTAAAAAAGTTATGTAACTGATATACAACTTTATAATTAATTTTTATTTTATATCACATAATAATAAAGTTTATAAATATTATACAAAAAACGGACTACCTACAGACTAGGCGATATATAAGTATTAAATGTGTACCCATGAAATCGATAATTTTTGTTAGTACTACTTGTAACTTACTTCTATTTCAGAAACTTCTACAACTAAGTAAAATATATAATCGTATTTAAGATAGGAAGCGTAGTTCTTTTTCATTCACATACACAATCTATTTTTATTTAAAAACATAATTATAATATAATTTTTGTCACCATATTTTTTTATAAAAAAATCGTTTTATTTTCTAAAAAAACTAATTGAGATGATGTTACATAATCTTACATATATAAAAATGCTAAGTTTCTTTGTGTACGGAGTGTTGGAGTTTATTTGTCGTTTATTGCTGTCGTTTGGTGCACCGGCAGGCATGGGCAGGATGGTGGCATGCAGTATGGAGGAGTCATCACGGTGGGAAATAAGCCTGAAGCAGCCGCTAAATTTCTGCAATACAAATATCTTATTGAGGTTGTTTTTATCGCAGAGGTATCACCTACAAAGTACACAAGTTTCACAATTAGTAGGTATACTTAATAATAGTGGAGCCTACTAGATGATTCGGTAAATTTTCATATTTTCCGAAAGCGTTGGATACTCTTAGTTGGGTCCTTTTGCAAAGTTCGTTCTAAGTGACGTGGCCTGCATATCCTCCCCATGCCAAATTTCAGGTTTCTGTTACAAAGACTCAAACTTGCGAGAACCTTTAAGAAAAAAAGTTGAACCGACTTCAGACAATACTGACAATGAGCACTAAAAATTTAAAAATAATTAATAATCTAATAGAAAAAATAAAATAAGCACGACCTTCAATATAACAGGTAATATTATAGTAACAATAGATACCTTCTAGTCTGTTAGAAGGACCCTCTGTTAGAAGGAAGTCAAGGACCCTCCATCAGCCCAGCAACATGAGATAACGACTACCAAACGAAAATACTCGTATAGCTAAAGAAGCTAAAACACATTGTCGGGCCAGTAAAATTTGAGGGCTTCGATAGATTTCTCTAGGATCCCATCATCAGATCCTGATTTGGTGGTTATGGGACCACGTCAGAAGTAAACCCGTAAAGTATTTCGATTACAAAAATAATTTTAATAATCAGTCTACAATTGACGAAGATGTCGCTTAACAAACACACAAAAAAAAGAATCATTCTGTAACTCCTAACCGTTAAGGAGTTCTACCTTAAATCATCAGCTCACCTGAATAACTTAAAATAATAAAACTAAAGGTGTATACATATGATACTTAAAGAATCGTCCCTTAACTCCTAACCGTTAACGAGTTGTACCTTCCATCACCAGCTCATCAACACGAGATGATGACTACCAGACGCAAATACTAGAATAGCTTCAGAAAATATATGAAACACAATACGTGCCTATAAAATATGAGGGTCGCCCTCGATTTTTCTCGAAACCCATCATCAGATGTCTACATGACGATGGGACCACTTCAGGACCGCTGTTTCCTCATGGACCAACTATCTATGCACAACTAGTTGTGTCATAAGGATTTTTGTTTTAAAATCATTCCTATTGGCACAACTAAATAATTTTCAATTAATATTAGTTCCTAGAGACACAACTAATTATAATCGGTGTACAAAAATTCATTGTTATGGTTATCGTAAGCATTTAATATGGTACTCGTATATATTATACTAAATACATATGCTAATGATATTTGTATTTCGATTCATCTAAGCTTATCTAGTGCATGCCCTCATGTGATTACTCCATTAATGTATTGAAGTTGCACGTTCTGAATAAATCCGTCTTTAATAATATATTCATGTTTCCGGAGTCTTGAACATAGATCTTTTGCAACAACATTGTATTTCTCTAGCATTATGGGAACATTTAGTAGTCTTAACACAGTCACAGTATTCTTGTTTAGATGTTTATTTAGGGTAGAGTGCCATGACTCTACAACATTATTAGTGCGGTGACGCTCTCCGAACACGGACATTATGGGAACAAAGTTACTCTTTTTCATAAACCTCTCTACATAATTGATGAAATTGACCATTTTCAAGTTGGTATTATAAAACCATATATATAAAACCTCCTTTCTAAGGAGAGGCCTATGCCCAGCAGTGGACTATTATAGGCTGTTGATGATGATGATGATTTTCATATTCGGAATTAATATAGGCCCAGCCTGCAACTACAGCATCCGCTGGCAATAGAGGCAAAGCAGCACACATTCCTATTATTCTGTTTTCTACTTTTGTATGATGCCCAAGCTGTCTGGCCTTTTTCCATAGATTGCGCATCCAGTGGTAGTAGCAACCTACAATCTGTATCTCTGGGAACATCTTACAAAAAATATAAATACGGGTGTTGTCACATGTATATTCAGCCAAAACGAAATCTTTGAACTTTAGTGGAATTTCCACTTCTTGAAGACGCGTAAATACTGTTTTATTCGCTCCAACAGACTCGTTCCTAGCCTTCATACTAGAAAAAGGAGGAACAGAATCTATTAAATCTAGTCCCATATCCACCATATCTGCTACGCTGTCTTTATATAGTTGAGGAATAGGTTTGTCAGAATTTCTTACTGCATCTTTTATCGCAGCTTTCTTTTTCAAATAAATAATTTTTAAATAATTACTGATAGAAATTACATGAAATGGCATTTATAATTTTCTATTTGTTAATTTAATAATAATAATGTAATAATATTATTTATTTCCTCCTGTAGTTGTGCTAAAAGGAATGGTTTTAGTAAATCAGTTGTGCTTAGTTGTGTCATTAAGAACATATTCTGGGATGGCACAACTAGTTGTGCGTACATAGTTGGTCCATAAGGAAAACGTGTTCAGGACTATACTCTTTCCAATAAAAAAATATTTTTTAAATCGTTTTACAATTGACGGAGTAATCGGTGAACAACTGAACATACATAAAAAAAACACAGGTCAACATAGAACCTCCTCCTTTTTTGAAGTCGGTTAAAAACCAGAGACCATCGAAGTGCCCAGGGCCCTGATAACTTCTTAATCTGGCCTTGATATAAACCAACGCCCTGCAAAATTACATGCCCCTAGTACCAAAAAAAAATATCAAAAATAGTTGCAAGATTTTCTTGATTCAGCCCTGTCGCAAAATCATTCTTAGGTAACGTTTCCTACTGTAAACTACCGAATACGGCCGGATCGAATACGACCATAATGACATATCGCTTGCTGTTAAAAGTGCGATTTTAGCTATGTAGCTCTTCGGACATTTAGGTACCATCTATTTCGATTTTTTAGATTGTTGCTATTCGCTGTGCTGAGAATTTGCCATGTCGAGGCCAGCACCAATGGTGGCCATGAGTTGCATATCGACGACTAGTTTTGCGTGGCTTGCGATTGCGATTTATTTTGCCACCCATCGGACACAGTTCTTATTTCTAGATGAAAGGTAAAAAGCATAGTTTCGAGTGTATAATAGGTATATAATACTCGGCAGGATTATAACATACTGACCTATACTGCTGATCCAATTGAGCTTTTTCGATTCTTTTATCTTTAGCTCGTCGATTTTGAAACCATATCTTCACTTGGGTTTCGCTTAGCGATAATGTGGATGCCAATTCGCACCTAAAAAGTACAAAAACACATGGATGATTAATGAATTGTGTGTTAATAAATTAATAATAATAGCTTGAGACACCACACCTTTGTGTGACCCCAAACTAGGCAGAGCCTGTATGGCAGGGATTCTCGAAGTGGTCGACATAAATAAAATAAAAAATTTGGAGGTCATGACCCCTATTAATTAACACAAGTTCTTATTTGAAACTTTAAGGATACGGTATTCATCATCATCAACAGCCTTTAACAGTCCACTACATAGGCCTCTCCTTAGAAAGGAGGTTTTGGCCTACTATACCACGCTGGCCAGACGGATTGGTATAGGGTTTGTTTCAAGTTTTCCTTCTCTTTGCAGTGTTGTCCTGCGCAGTTTACTCCCTTAGTCGGCTCTTACGACAGCCACGGGATGAATAGGGGTGGTGACACTGTATTCTTAATCCGTTACCACACGGTCTTAAAGATTTTGTTATACTTAATTTTAAATTCCTCTGACATCAACTGTCATCGAAAACGCATAATTAAGAGGTTGTAAGTAAAGTAATTTTAAATAATTATTAATTTGTAGGCAAAATCGCCTGTGTCCAAGTTTAGTGTATACTAAGATTTACTGGTAAAACCTGTGATATGCCATTACACGGGCTTTTATACATACATAAATGGGTGAAACTGTAATAGATTAGTACACACTAAGAAATGAAATCGACATCTCTTAAGATTCGGATATTGTAGCAATTGATTTCTTTGATCCATCGCTATACTTCAATCTGTCAGAACTGTCAAACGGTACCTCTTAGATTAGATGGATCATCGTTACACTTACATAATTACTTAAAAAAAAATATAGGTAGAACTATACAGCTAAATATCTTATCATTTCTAAAGGTTGGAAAGGTAGGTCTGACAACAACAGACTTCTGCGTATCAGAGATTTACTGCACAAGAGAACACAGTTATTTAACAACAGTACTAGCAAATAAGAGTTTTCTGTCGTTTATGGTAAAGGGTAGGGTGACCAAACTCTACAAGGAGCCAATATGTTAGGCACAACACCGTGTTGTTATCTACTGCTCTTGCGAAGATTCTACTCCCGCTTAGATACGAGTACCTGCAAATAAAAAGTGAAACCCATCTGCTATCTTCCAACAATGGAATGGAATACATACCTTCTAGCCCTAGCTACATATTCGCCTCGTGCATATTCAAGCTCTAGTCGTAAAGTCTGGTGGGCAGAGAATGTTGTTCGCTGCCGACGGGGCCGGCTTTCCTTGCGTCGTCTTCGAGCCACTGACCAAGAAACAAAATGACATTAATTTTTGTGCCAAACAAATATGTTCGGATAGGTTCAATATATGTTCCAAGATTTTTGTATCAAAATTAATCGGGACTAATTGATGCGCGATGATACTGTCCCGTTACAAGTAAAATAAATATACCTAATAATATTCGTTTCTTCTTAATGTTTCATCACAAAAATAGATGTTGCCTAAAATTCTTTGAAAACATAACAGTACAGTGAAATTAGTCTCGAGAAATTTTTGCATATGTAGTGGTGTGTATATTACTCAGATCTTAGAGCGCGTTTCCACTATATCGTTCTGGCCTATACAAAAATGTTTCGATATCCTAACATTACTATTTAATTTTATACTTATCCCTAGCAACACTCTGATTTTTGTTTTCAATAAAAACAAGTTTTTATTTTAAAGAAAAAGGTTTTGACTTTATAAAAAAAAAGGTGTGTGTGCGATTCACACACGATAGAAGTGAAACTTCAAAGAGACGAGACCGATATATTTAGTTTTTTTTTTTTTTTTTCCTTTCATCTAGGTTTTTAAAATTTTTGTTATTTTTGGCCTAGGACGCACCGTTTCCGAGATATTTCAATCTAAAGCAAAAAATCGTCACTTGATACCCATACACTACTACAAACGCAAAAATTTCTCCAAGCTAATTTACCTGTAGGTACAAAATCCAGTTCTACGTTCGTTTTGCAAAAGATTTCTTACTAACGTTACCTACTTATATTCGTTACTAATAGAAAACTCCTCGCCGTCGCAGGCGTGTTAGTTTTATGTAAGTAAGTACTAATTTTTATAATATAATATATCGTGCGTATGGTGATAGTACATACTACATTTAGTACCAAAAAATAAGTGTGGCGCAATTATTATTTCATGTTATTAATGTTTTAATGGCAGTATACCTTTTGTAGTATCGTACCGACCATGTTGCAATCAGGTTGCGCTTACTTCGCGCACTTATTTATTTATTATGTATAATGTGAAATTTGAAATACCTACTTAAAATTTGCATAATAATGTAGAAGTACCGAAAGCTCGACATTTTTTTCATTAATTTATAAACTACTAAATTAAATATCCAATCTTTGTAGACCACGGTAGAAGAGTTCAATGGCAGTTTAACTTATACTAGAAATAAATAGCATTATTATTATTATTATAATCCACCATTGAGAGCTACGTACTAAGGACGTCTTTTTATTGGCACTTACCATATTTTACCACAAGGTGGCGTAAGTGTTCCTAACCACCTTTAAACAACTACAAAAAATCCAACAGGAAGGATTCCTCGCAATTCCTGTGTAGTGTACTAAACGCTTGAGGCATGAGAAAATTGTGCTTGTAAGAGCTCCGATTCCGCACCATATTGTACTAAAGTCCCGGAAGTATCCTGGACAAGTGAAACCTTGCTCGCACGTCGAGGGTGAATCACGATTATTTAATCAATTATAATTTGCTATTCGATATTGAAAGCCAATTAGGCATGAACAGTGTCTCCCGAGGGGTCGATGAATTAAAAGATATAAATAACAAATACGGCGAGTTTTACGACAGAAGAAGTGTATTGATACCTTGAGGATATAATAAGAATAATATAATATTTTTCACACATCTCACACGGCCGTCTGGTCCCAAACTATGGAAGAGCCTGTACTATGGTAACCAGACTGCTGATAAACATACTTATATATTTTTAATTAAATACAAATATAATTATGGGTGGAAATCATAAAAAGTAAGCAGGACAACAGCACTGCAGGTAGAAGGAACACTTGACACAAACCCTATACTAACCCGTATAGCCAGCGTGGTCTAGCAGGCCAAAACCTTTCTAAGGGAAGGCCAGAGGAACATTTTTTTTTATTTTATTTGAAATATGTTCAGCTAAGGTTGTAAAATTGATTAAAGTAGAAAATATAATTATAATAAAATTAGGCGCAAATCTATGTATAGCTAGAAACTATTAACTATTTTATGAGTAGTGTTCTAGTACAATTTTTAAATCTACCTATATCTTAAATCTATACCATTATTAGGGATAATGATGAGTGAATCGTTAATCATATACTTGTACCTATTGGTTGGAAAATATAATAGACATGATGAAAAGGGATAATTCAGCATTAAAATATAAACATTCACACAAAGGTCAATCGGTGTAAACGTAGCATACACTAAGACCGATGGTATCTCTAGGTACTAACATTTTGACGGTTAAGGAGAAGACTATAGTTGCCATCTGCTTGGTATATTTATTCCCAGTCAATAGCTGTTAACGCTGTATGTTTGAAGATCTTGCTACATATACAAAACTGGTTAAAGGTGTTTCGTGTATCACAAAAATCACACACCTAAGCTGCTCGTGCAGAGCTTCCCAGACAACATATGGTCCGGGGTGTAGTGGTGTTTGTTACAATACTGTCCGGTCAATTAGTGATTGATTTACGAGCCATTGCTCAGCCTTCCGTATCCTGTGATTTGTAGCCAACCATGTTGAAATAAACTGATGACATCCGATATTAGCAAGTTAAGCATATGTACATTATCATAAGGTCTTGTACAAAAAGCTATGAAATACATGAACTGTAATTGATTTTAGTCGATTAAATATTTTTTTGGTTATTTTTCACAAACGTTCAAGTTCACTATATGTTAAATTTAGGAGTGAAGAGAAAATAAAATTAAAAAAATTGATGTACCTACTCTTACATGTATGATGTACTGAACTGGTTTACAATAAAGTTTATTCTATTCTAAAGCACAGCAGCATCGAAGCAGCATCGAGAATGTAAAGAACCTGAGCACTAGAGCTACAAACACCAGAGTTGCTAAGTTGCTTATTTGATTAGATGACACTTCATAAGGCCCACGGCCGCTCTGACTATAGCACACCGATATTAAAAAATATGGGATTGATACATTAGAGAAACTCTAGTACTTAAGTATCTAGGCATAAGGTACGAGTACTCAGATGCTATTATTATTGCTTTTCTTGAAAACTCCTAATAGAGCCAAGTTAAATTATTGGAGGGGTTTTGTTTGAGCAATTTTCGTAAGCGAAAATAGACACGTTATTTCTATAAAGATGAAAGAGAAATAATCGCTTCGCATGATCTGTATCGTTAGTGGTAAATGCGTGCGAGATTGCTTCCATATTGTATGTTTCCTTTATTGGAGAAATCATTATTGTAGCTACGAACTAATGGGGGATATCAAATAGAGGTCTGTAAAGATGTATTTTGATATAGCTATTATTATTTTATTTCAAAATTAAAAAAATAAGCAAAACATCTTTTTTTCAACTACACATTTCTTTTTAGGTATTAAAGCTTAGCTTATAAAAGCTTAGCTTGTTAATCCATTAGGTGCTATGTAATGAATAACATATTGGTTTAATTGAATATTAAATATTGAGTTTTAAAGGGTGTACCTACGTGGCTGGGAGTCGTCATCTGTGCTCCCCTCGCTATAAGTACAAATGTAATTGAGGCACAATGCTTGTATTATCTGACTGAGTGTTGTCACATTTAATCGTCATGCGCTTAATCGAGTTGAAAGTAAGTATGTGGTTAATACGATAATAAAACTTTAATGCTTTGAATAAAATTGATAAAATTATTACAGATATTTACTATATTTCAAATATTTAGGTACTGTCAGTAATATTAATTTTGTATTTACATATGTCTGTATTTACTCAATTTCGTCATTCTGTAACTCATACGGTTATTTTTTGTTTTGGTATATATTTAAATCTTAGGACCTTACACCTGCACCCTCATCATCTTATTACAGACATGTGCTTTCCTGACCAAGCTTTCAAATTTAAAAGAAATTATTTCTACCACAGATTTAACTACAAAAATATTGCTATTGTTGTGTGTGATTAAAAAAACTGATTGTGTTTAATCAACAATGCTATTAACAATGCGAATTGGACGAGTGTTAGGGTTGCACCCCTTAATATTCATTAGTAAAGATCCCCTAATTACAGGTCCATTCGACCGTTTACTAGCTTAGAGATGAGAGTGCCACACCTGACTTGTTCATGTTTTGTTTTCAATGCCTTCGGAACAGATATTGATATCACGAAGGTGACGCTTCACTGGTTTTCAATTGAGCCCAGCAGAAAAATCGTGGTTAAATTGTTTTCTTATTATTGCCCACCTATTTTGCTATCCCGTCTGCAGAAAAGTAGCACATAAAAAGAAAATATTTGATCTTCTGCTATACTTACAAATAATGTAGCTATGGAGTACGCCAACTTATAGATAACAATGAGAAACTATACTCTAAAGAATACTGTTGAAGATAAAATGAAAAGTACTTAAGTACACATTTATCGGGTTTGATTGTTTTTTTTTTTGTCTCAAACCATGATAACAAATTCCCCATATTTATGTATCTCAAAAGAACTGATCAATGGTATTAAGTATTTTTAGAAATGCGGTATCTTTTATTTTAGAATATACCTACTTATTTAAACACTATAATATTATTATTCTTAAAGTCATAACGTAACGGTAACGGTATAAACCAACTAATTTCTAACTTAAAAAAAACGGAAAAAGAAACATCAACTATTATAAAAGTCGAATATGATGGACGTTACTGAAGACTGATTGGTTGGCAAGTAAGTACCTAATTACTGCTGAATAACATCTTTCTTTTTAATATCTTACAATCTATAGGAGAGATTTTATGAAAAGGGACGAAAGTCTGGAACAGGTTGATTTGTTTAAGAGCGCGTTGCTAAAGTTGACCGTCAGATGGCTGCTTAGACGTCAGGCGTTACATCATGTGCTTTAATTTTTACCTAATTTACTTACAATTAGGATAACAAGATAAATCAGAGCCTTCAACAAAACTTTAAATCACATTTTATATTCGTTATGTTTTCAAATTAAAAGCTTGCTCGAAAGAGATTTCTTTTTTATTATTTGACATCTTTATGCATTTTTACATGAAGCCCGTACAAAAAATAAATAAATAATAGTATAAATTAAAGAGTAGTGCTTATCTAGGCATCGGTTGTAGAATTTGTGCCAGGCTGATGAGCACATCAGCACAATCCGCACTCAATGCGTACCTCGATCAAATGCGATGTGAAACGAGGACGATACAAATTGCGACTAATGTAAATCGAAATGTTATATCGCCAGACGGTGGGTTGGAGCACGTGCAAATTCACACGCTTGCCCATCGAAATAAGCAAAACTTAAATCTTTCGACAATATAGATTTGAGTGTCCCAGTCCACGGTTGATAAAAAAACATCGGTTTTCGGTGTGAGTGAGTGATCGACCCATTTCTCTAACGCGATTCAGATATACGAACTAATACTGTTAATGAGCGACGTTACTTGAGAATACCTTATGTATGTTGATAGTGTTGGTCTAGTGGTTAGTGATTCTGACTACTAAGCCGGAGGGGTGGGTTCGATTCCCACCCAGGACAAATAATTGTGTGATAAGTTATCAGCACGATCATTTGTTCTATGTCTGGGTGTATTTGACCTATTATATGTTCCTGGTACAGGCTCTATCTAGCTTGAGATCAGACGGCCGGAACTTTATATGCGAAAGTGTGTCTATCTGTCTGTCTGTCTGTTACCTCTTTACGCTAAACCGCTGTACTGATTTAGATGAAATTTGTATACAGATAGTTTGAGTCCCGGGAAAGGACATAGGATAGTTTTTATACCAGAAATCATCCTTTAATAGAGTGAAAGTGGTGGATGTTTGTATGGGGAATCAATAACCGCTGAACCAATTCAGATTAAATTTGGTATGGAGATAGTTTGATTCTTCAGATAGGACATAGGCTACTTGTTACCGCCATAACCCACATACCGGCGCTAGGCGCGGACAAAAGCTATGTGGCGTACCTACTTACACCACATCCTACGAAGTTATTAGCCCCGCTCA